GAAATCTTCATACTCATCGCCCTGATGACGGAGGCAGTATGACCTCCGAAACGTTGGTTAACATCGACCAGACTACACAGCGCAACAACCCAGAAGACGGAAATCTTCATACTCACCGCTGTGAGAACCTCAAGTCTTACAAGATATAATATAAAACGCCACATTTCAATTGTTTTTTTTTTAATCTGTGAAGTTAACTAGAACACAACATACGTGCCTCCAAAACTACGCAAATTATGTTACATAATGGCAAATAGTGATACTGTTTTCAGGTTCCTGGCAGAACCACTTCGTAGCCCGGCCAAACAGCAGCTGCAGAGCTTAACTGTTCACCCTGTTGACAGGTTTGTCCCTGACGCTGATGAAGTATGGTGATACGGTGCGTCTGGGCGTCATGGTCGACTCTATGATAGCGCCTCAGCACACCGTCATGGCGTCGGGATTCCTCCAGCAGGTGTACCAACTGGCAGCACTGGCTGGAGTACCAAGGGACCGAACCAGCCTTTCCACCTCCTCGCACGTTTACCAACCTAATATTCCTCCAGAAGGAATCACGAGCGCGCATGGATCGAACACCTCCGTGTCTTCAGCGTCAGAAGAACTCTTGCGTTTGGCTGCAAGTTCTCCAGATCTCAACATTTCTACATCTTCTGGTACGACTCGATCTAACAGTCCGGAATCAAGCCTTAATTCACGCCTACTGAACGAAGAAATCATATTCCCTTTTACGGATTAATTCACTGCTTTCAATGGGAGGAGAATCTACACTGGCTTTCTAGAAGAGGTGTTTCTTAGCATTAAATGCTGTCTTATGTTTCATCTCGTAATTGGTATGACCATAAAGAGAAGAAGAAGTTTTCTTTTTACGGAACTGAGTTGATTCTTTGACTCCAAATATCGACGTCCTCAGTCACGATTTGATAAAACGTCAACATTTCTTCCTTGCAGGAAAATACATAAGGAAGTCCTGAAGGACTCTCTCCACGTAAATAATGAGAATAAATGTTTAGGATAGAGCCAAACAGGTGTGCATCTGGAAGAAAGTTAAGAGCAGTCTTTAAAACACTGCACCAGATGTGCGCTCATTTCTAGGTGCTTATTCCTGGGACAATTTCAAACGTAGGGAATCAGCAACAGTGACAGAAAAATCCTGAGAAATGTGGCCTCGAATTCTACAACATTTTTCTTCAATTGGTATTTAGAATTATAAATGATACTGGGTCTTGCCAGAGAGTGAACTGTCAAAATTGAATTGCCAACAACGTTGAAAGAGGTAGCATGTAGTTTAGGTCATTCTGTGTAAGTTACATTGTGAAATATAATATGGCGTCGGAACTAAACGTATATTTACTCTTTTGCACCAGAGTTAAGAATACACAATTTTAAATAATGACACACTAAAAAGTATGTACACATTTTGCATGGTACAGTTAATATGCAACCCGCCCGATATTTGCCAGTTATAAGAACGTATTAAGTTCTTAACTAAATTCAAGGAACATTTAAATAAAATTTTTATTCTCAATTATCTTTCCAAAAACGTATTTCGGTCCGTTTATTTACCAGAGACTTACGCGCTCTCATGACAAGAAAACCAATGATCTTTGTTGAGACATATTCCATATTACAAAACTTATTTAAAACAATTTAATTTATTTCAGGACGATTTCAGTAGCTCAGACTTTATAACATGGAATGAGGATAGTAAATTAAGTGGTAGTGGCCAAATCTAAAGCACTATCCCGGCATTCCCGTAGGGACTCAAGGAAACTGTCAGGATAAGCCTCTCCGGGCAGAGATTTTAACCCGAAACCTCGCGAATAAGAATCTGGAGTACAAACCACTTTAAGACAATGTTCAGATTTATAAAGTGATAGTGGAACCACGGTTCCGGAGAATTAGACGTAAATACGTCTATACGGAAAGGAAGTTTATATATTGGCTTTATTCTAAATATTTCCTTTATACATGCTTTACAATTGAGTAAAGTTTGATTAAGACTTTGCTTATTTAAGTCCATGAATTCCTCGCAGAAATTGCAAAAAGATGAACGTAAAGAATTCTCTGTGCTTGTAAGATCTGAGATTTCAGCAGTGACGTGAATATGGATGATTTTCTGGATTATTCTGCCGTGTAATCTGTTACATTTACGGAGTAACAACCCAGAAGACAGCCAACCTTCTATCTTTAGTGTGACTAACCTCGCAACAATGAGATTTCAGTTGCAATAAATCAACAATGGGACAATAAACATTTTTCAACTATAGTAGGCTTTGCTGTACAGCGAGGAACAGCGTATAAACGAATCTACTGTTAATAACATTACGGTGTTATACACTCTACCGACACTTAGCCAGTTGTAACTAGTACCAGGTGATTCAAAAATCAGTAAACCACCTCTTTACCCTTATTTATTGGTTTCATATGACTCACAGAGTAACAGTGATTGGGCCTACACCCTATTATTTATCTTAAAGCAGGCTTAATTTTTTGACGTAAATACGTCTATATTTTAGGGTCAGTGTCATACGACAAAAAGTGAAACGAAAATGTGTAACAATGGTTTTATTATTATTTAGTGTTCTGTCTGAGGACAGGTCCATATGACCAGGATCCTTCCATCCTTTTCTCGGCCTGGGACCTGTTCATATACGTTCTTGGCAGATGCTCCAGAAGTGGTTTGCCATTGCCTTCTTCTGTGTGTGTGAATGGAGTAATTGTTGGGATGTCACGGAGAAACCGGGGAAGCCCCCGGAGGAAAACTCCGTGTTGCCTAGACCACGGCCTTGCCCAACACAAGTTATAAATTCGGGCACCGCCGGGAATCGAACCCAAGACCCCAGGATTACAAGGCCAGCGTTCTGACCGCTAATGTAATGAAGTGTAATGTAAGGTAAGGTAATGTAATGTTTTATAGGTAACAACAATACCGAGTAAACAGATGACGTTTTCTAGGTAACATAACAATGCAGTTACACTTTTTCGTAACACATTTTTGCCGAATGACACTGACCCTAAAATATAGACGTATTTACGTCAAAAAATGGAAATGTGTCACTGTGGCCATGCTCAAAGCCACGACAGCGTTTGCAGACAGTGGAAGTCAACATCCACGCATTCTAAAGCACGGAACAGAAGTAGGCGTATGACCGCGTTCCGCTCCAATTCCTTCGCACTAGATGAACATAGAGAGAGAGCTCGTTGTTCCCTCTGAATGGGACTCTGAGTCATTGACAACGTGTTGACGAAGAGAGAAAAATACGCTACCGTTACAATTCGAACTTCAGTCGTTCACTCCACAGCCAACCATTTCACACTTTGTATAAGTTTACAGACATTTCAGAGGTCCCTTCTGTCTCCATCATCAGTGCGATGTAGGTTGTGGATCTCGTCAAAACACGTTACTTAAGATTTATTTCCTGGATATATAACAAAAAATATATGCTGATTCGAATTTAATTTTGTCAATCTCTTGACATTATTTTGTATAATTTGATGTTATCATGGCGGCAAGGACGACAGCCATGATGATGGAGGCAGCAAGTACCTCTGAAACGACGGTGAACTTCGACAACACTACACAGCGCTAAAACCCAAAATGGTTACTGTCTGCGTTACACAAAAGTGAACCACTGACGAACTAAAATCTAACGTGGACAACAGCGTCCTTACATGAAGCAGCGGGGATTATGAATTTAAAGATGCGAACGAGGAGTACTACTTTTACCGACTGAACAGCCGTGTCTGTACGATTTGAAACACGGCGCTACTTCACACGAGCATTCATGAATCTCGTGGCTTCTGCTGCCATCTACTGTTCCATTTATTATAACTCATATATTCTAGAGATACATTAAAAATACTGTACGTAAAACATGGCAACACTGATGCTTTAAAACTCTTTTCTGCAAAAGAAAGATCATAGAACATACTATCTTTTATCCGTACCAAATAAAAACTAAAATTTTACTACAGGTCCCACCGAGATTTGAACTCGGATCGCTGGATTCAGAGTCCAGAGTGCTAACCATTACACCATGGGACCACATCCCTTATTTCTTCGTTCTTTATGCTATTATTATCCTAGTTTCATCCCGCTCCGCCTATTACAAATAATGTTTCATGGCATATAAAAGTAAAAAAAGAAACTCCACATCAGCAAAACACCCTGAAAATTGCAACTAATATGAATGCCGAAACATCATTTTTAACACTCGACGCTGCTCAACCCCGAAAAACGAAGTTTTACGTTTGCATTGCCGCATTCCGTTATTATAATTATGAATGAAATTACTGTTTTAATTAATGCGAGAATAATAGTGTGGTGACGTAGCCCGTGGACCAGCAAGGCGTCTAATTCCTAGACGCCTATAAACCTCCGAGGCAACCACATCTGCGAGAAACTCACCGGAAAGCAATGAGGATGCTTCAAACAGTGAACGCCCACATTAAATGTCGTGACATTAGTAATAATTAAAATGTGCTTTACTTTTCTCAAACAAAGTAACGTCCACAGAAAATTCACGGAAATTCGTCCCGTCATTCTTGAGTGTTTTAATGCGTGACGATGGATATGACCGATGAAGCGGTCATGTTTACGTCAAGTTGTGTTAGGTTAGGTACGCGCATGCGCAGAGGATCATGGACAATTACGTCATCACCATTCACGTCACGAATTCAAGCAACCGTCACGTTCGTATTACCAACCGGAGAAGTTATAAATTATGTATCTGGAGCAGTCACTGTGAAGTATGGTATCTACCAGATTTTATTGAAAAAGGTAATTATTAAACGCGAAAAATGAACATAACACCTGAATGTTTGGTCAGTGATGCGCCTGTGCAGAGTAACATGTGTCATGACGTCATCATTCTACCTAACGATTTTAAGGGATCGTCGTAATATCGAGTGTACGGAATTTATGAATAGGAATATTGAATAATCACCTATATGTCACAACGTCCACGTTAAAATGTTATGCAAATCTTTGTATATATCGTATACTTAAAAAAAAAAGAGAGAAAACTGGGATATCTTTTCTTTTTATATTATTAATAAATTCGGTAACTAAATGCTTTTCTCTCATACTTTAGAACATCTGCACAAATCATTTAAAACGGAACCAGGTCAGGGTTCTCAATAAATCAGTCCACTAAAACTGATGCTGCACCGACCCAATTTCTCCGTTTATTGTTTTACAAAATTAGCTTCTATGCAACTGCCCACGCTTTCTGATCAAATCGTAAAAGGGTTTAACCCCAATGACGTGTACGCTCCATCTGTATACACTGGCACAGGTCGACACGTCTGTGACGTAATGGAATTTTACAGTTGGTAGAGTTCAGTGATCCTTTTTTATCAGTTTATAAAACACTACAGTAATACAGGGAGTGGCAAAACAATTATCACGGCACGACTTTCAAGTTTTGGGAGACTGGCTGTAGAAGCTGGTTATCTGGGGATGACCTTTCAAGGAAATACGTAGACAAATTATTTAAGAAGACGCAAATATAAGACAACCACGATGAGCGAATGTCACGACGCCATTAATATACAAAGGGCAAACGGAGAACGCTCGTGTGGGACAAATAATTAAGAAATCTGTCACAAAACCAACACAATAAACAAGAATTATTCGAAATAAAAGGCAATAATAGTATGATTCTTCAGATGAAGAAGGTAAACTAACATAGAATAAAAATAAAAGAATAAATATCATAGATCCTGAAGATGGAGGCAGTATATTCATCCGAAACGTTTGTATCCACTAATACGTGGCAAGTGTTTAGAATGACGCGTCGGGCCTGTTTCAAAGCACGACACACAGCATTTGCGAGGAGGAAATGATGCTCATAAAATTCTTCAATCGAAAAAAAAAAAGTCTCCGAACCAGTATTAGAGCCAGGAACCTCCCGAATGCAAAGGAGTACAGTACGTCCTCGTTTTTACGAAATTTCACTCTCACGAACTTTCATAATGAACCTTCCGCTTACTCGTCATTCGAAATCTTGCGACTGTTTGAGAAACTTGGACCCTCCAAATCAAAATCGCCACCAAAATGCCCTTCCAAGTACCCACCCTCCTATCTTACATTGATGGTGAGGACCCCGCAATCTCATTAACATCGTCTTTCTTTCAATCCCATGAAATCGATATCTCGTTTCCATAACTGAAATCGATATATCAGAAAGGCCTCGACTACCTTACGGACGAGGTCTTGCCGAAAAATATATGGCGTCCAAAAATAAAAAAGGTAAGAATATACCCCAACACTTTCCATCACGACTAATTTCTGAACGAAAATATGTGCTGGCAATTATGAACACAAATACGACACATA